ACAGGCCACTGGATTTGAAGGGCCACAGATTTACTGGAGATGGCAATTCTTTTAAATTCTCATCTCCTTCTCATATCTGTTACTTAAAAGGAGTTCTTAGGAACATATAGACTTATTGTGTTATGCTTTACCACAAGACCAGTTTTTGGATACAGCTGTTGGATACAGCTGTTGGTGAACACATTAGAAATATAGCCAAATCCTTCCTTACTTTCCCTGAGTCCACCTTTGGAGAGAATGTGAATTGCACTTTTGAAGGTGAGGTCCTAATTTTGAAGAGAACTTGAGGTCATTTAGGGCAGTTCTCACTTGAGTGGGTAATCTTTACATAATAAACCAAAGTAGTCACTGTTGAAAATAAGCTTTGGGAGCCCCTGACATAAAACATATTGCTATTCTAAAGTTCTATAATATTTGCAACTCTTAGCTGCTGGATAATTATTATAATTTACATATACCAATAACAGGCATGTTACTTTACTTACAGGTATATGGTACCTTAATTGCTACCACATCCATTTCCTGATCAAAACTATTTCTGTAGGTTTACCATGAATTTTATACCTTCTCCCTTCTTGTAATATTTTTGAAGCATTCAAAAACTAAAACTGGCAACGACCTTACATTTGAATATGTGTCTTTTGGTTCATTATATGTCTAACTGCAACTTTGTGCTCCTGACACTTTTAGGCTAGTGGTTTAAAAAAATTGTTGACTGTAATCTGTAAGTATAAATACATTTTACATCAGCAATCAGTAATATGATGTGTATGCACATACATGACTGAAACCACAATGTCATAAAATAGTCTTTAAGGATGATAGGTATTCCCTGCTGTGTTCTCCTGTGCTGTCTTCAGTGTGCCTAGTGGGGGGGGGGGGGGCTGGGAGAAGGGAGCTGGGTGTGACCCAATGCCATCGATTTCATAACCCACTCCTACAGTTAAAAAAAACAAGGCCAAAAAACTTGTTCACGGTACTTTTTTTTTTTTTTCTCATTCTTTCTTAACACGGATTTTATTTTCTATGAGCCTCTCTTTCACTTTTGTGGAAATGCTGCATTTCTACTCCTGCTCTATTGTAACGGTACCCATGAAAGACCATCAAGAGAATGAGGCCTGTTGTCACTCTGTTGTGTCAACACAGGATGCCCTTTCCTATACAACCACCACCAGATTCTCTGTGTAAGGAAGAGAACTTGCTCCATGGCCCTGCACAGCCTTTGCATTATACTAATCCAAACTACACTCTTCTTTCCAAAAGGTGTCATCCAAAAGGTGGACTTTATGGGTGGATCCTCAGCAGCCATCCTCCCCTCAGCCCCCAGCTGACAGGTCTGTCCCTGTAAGTAGCTCAGGAAAGGGCAGGCGTAAGTGTGGACCTTGAAAGGCATGGAAGGCCTGCTGGGTTCTTCTAAGAAAAAGCTAGTGCAGGAAGATGAGCCCCGCCTCCCTGGTGCCCATGAACAGGGAAACCTGTAACCCAGCCATCAGTGGCAGTCACTGATCAGTCTCTGGAGAACCAGCCCTGGAATCGGGCTGATACTGGACAACAGATTAGAGAAACCCAAAGAGCTTGGTTCTTAGGGACACTGTCTAATCCTCAAAGTGCCCTGCTTTTGGACTTCCTCTTGTAGAGTTAATTTCCTAGATGTTTAAACCAATTTGATGTTGGTTTCTTCTCACCTGCTGTTGAAAACAGACTTCTTCTTAGTGTGGATACCTCTGTCCTCTCAACTGACTGTCAATGTGTGCAAGCACAAAAACTGCCACAATTATAGAAGTCACAAAGCACAGGCTGAATGAACTAACAATGTACAAGCATGTTGTTGACTGTCTTGTAGCCGAACAAACTCGGGCTCCAGCTTGGTCCTACCACTCCTAGCCCAGGTGGCCTCAGTCCCCATTTAGGGTTTCAGTGTTTAGTGATGACATTTACACAGTTGAACAGAAGGCTGGGCTGGATGAGGAAAAAACTCTGACCTTGTTACCCTGCAGTGGTGATAGCAGGGCTGTCGGTGTCCTTGGCACTGGCCCCGTGGCATACACCCAAAGGCTGCCCTCGGTCCACACCCACACATGGGTCCAGGCTGCATCCAAGGGAGAATGAGTGGTCAGCTGATCTGTCAGCCTGACCACAATTCAAAGCCTACTTCTGATATGTGAAAGAATTATTACCAGGAGCCAGGAACTCAACCAATGTCCCTGGACACTTTGTTTCTAGTGGGCTTTGTATTAGTAATCATGAACAAGAATTCTACCTGCTTACTAAGACAAATCCAGGCTGGAAAAACATTGCAGGGAAGGTGGGAAGCTGCTAGAAAGTAAGTGCCTGCTTTCAGTGCAACTCCAGTTTCATAAAATTTGATTCCCAGAAGCAGGCAGAGGCCAACCGTGTAAAGGTCTGTGTGTTTTTTTGACCCATGTATGAAGAATTCAGGGAGAGGTCATTCAAAACAAATGGGGGGGGGGGTGACCAAAGGGGCCCAGCCTGCCTGTGTCAGGCCCTCCTCAGTCCTGGTTTCTCTTTCTTGCCATTTTCATGGATAAGAAGGAAGGTCATTTTTTGCATATTGCCTTCATCTTGTAGTGTCACAGACCAGGGCCCATGACTTATTTCACTTTGTACAATGCATGCCCTTTCCCACGGGTTTATGGTTTCCAGTCCGCTTTCTTGAGCGTTTGGTTTGTGCTTTGTCCCTGAACTCTTTGGAAAACTGTAATAGTGTCCGTGTGACTGGTGAAGACACCGAGGCTCGGAGCTACTGAAGCGAGTGAGTTGCCCAAGGCCTGCACGCTCTTATTTCTGGCCCATAGCCTGGCGCAGAATGGCTTCCTCCCTAGAAACAGCCTTTGCAGGAGGCACACAGCAGAGGGGCTGTTCTGGGAGCAGGGGGCAAAGCACATACCATGGGGGCCTCAGGCAGTGTGGCCATGGCATCAAAGCTGGCCATTTCTCCAGCCTCTGGGCCCAGTGGAAAGGAGGAGGCCCCATGAACCTGTAAAATGGGCTGGACAAAGAAAAAGTCAGGGAAGGAACGACAAGCAAAATAGGCCAGTAGAAATCAGCTGAAATCAAAGAACCATGGGAAAGACAGGTAAAAGCAAGTGGCAGGCAAACCAAGTGGGTCCTTGCCCAGTCACACTGAGCTGTAGAGGAGCTTGGTGGCCCCTGACACTTTCTTTCATAAAACCAATTCAGTAGGTTTTCTGTATAACCCAGGTGGTTTTTATTAGGGTAACTACTCACTGAGAAATAAAAGCCCTATTACGTCTTGTTTATAGAGCATAAGAAATAGGATGTCATATGGTACAAGAGGCCTTCGGATGACTTCCAGATGCATAACTCTGCCCGGAGCTCAGACACTGACAATGGCCAGTGACACACAGCAGACTGCGGAAGCTCCCACTACCTGGTGCTGAAGTCTTGCTGTACTTTTCAAAGGCTCAGAGGCTCTAGAAGGCCCACTGAAATATGACGATGAAAATGGTTGCATTGGAATTGATCCCTCAAAAATTAATAAAAAGATCTGTCTAATCACTTAGTTTGAATCATTAATTGGATGTTTAATGCAAACATTTTAAAAGAGAAGTTGCAAACTAGGGAAAAAAATTCCCCTGAAAATATTTAATGTAAATAACTCCTTGAGATGGTACTTTTTACAAAAGGTTTGTCAGCAAATGCCTTTTTGTTTAGGGAACAGGGCAGCAGGAGGATGGGGACAGGACATCAGAAAATGATATGACTGTTTTCTATTTCGATGAGAGTAACAAGGAATCCCACCTGCCCTGCCCCCATTCTGCTTTATGTAGAAATTTGTCCAGCAAAATGAGCAGCGGTCATCAGCAGGAGGTGGCTGAACCCCAGGTGCCCAGAGAGTCTCTTCAAGCCACTACTTCTGTGCTCCCTCACTGTGTCCAGAGCCACCGGTCAAGTCCACTAATTCACCTTGTGACTGTATCTTTTTTCTCTTCCTATCTCTTTCTCTTCGGTAGTACAGCCGAAGGATAGCTGGAGGATAGCCGTGGTGAAAACAAGCACAGGTTCTTATAGACACAATGCTGTCAGCTCATGTTGGGTAGACACAGGAAGGCACACAATAAATTAAAGCAGACCCTATCTCTTCAGAGGCTTGCAGCGACCTACAGGGTGGGGGCTGGGTCTGCCAGCAGCCGAGCTTCCAGCACTGGTGTAGTGTGAGGACCACCCCGGGAAGGAGGGGGTCCTTCCTTTATTAAGTCATATCGGTATACAGGTTGCATGATCAAATGGAGGAGAAAATCCTTGCCATCTTATTCAGTCCAGTGTGGCCTCCGCAGCGAGGAGGACCCCCTGCCCGGCCACCCGCCCCCACCCAGGCCAAGTGTCGCTCACCAGCCCACTTGGCAAGGTCCAGCCAGGTTTGCACAAATCACTTGTACATACTCTTGTTGAGAACTGGTGGCAAATTAGTCCACAGGGCTCCATCTGCTACTTAATTAAGTAAATCACTTGGAAAACATAAAACTGAAGGTTGTAGCTCAATAAAACAATAAAGTGCTTTTGACGAGGGTAGCTGTTATTCACCAGTTGTTTCTTGTTTCACCTGAGGCACTGATGTCAATGCTATGACAAGTGATCATGTTTACCACCAGTGAAAATTGTAAAAAGCTTGTTTCCACTAAAAAGCCTGCATTTCTAAGTACTGCATCGTACTTTTTCTATTGTTTCCATGTCTTCATGTTACTAAACTTGAACTCACTACTGGGTAGGGAAATAGTTTCTGCTGGGTTGGGGTGGAGTCGGGTGGGTGGAAGACACGAGAACAGAAAAGGAGCGGTTCATAAATATTCCTTAAGGGTTCCACTTGTGAAGGTGAGAGAGGGGGTTACAGCAAAAAAGGATTAGGCTCCATGCTGAATCCAGATGTGAGCCCCAATGAGTGGAGACACAGATCGACTTCTAGAAGGGTCCACATATCAACCTAAGAGTTTATTCTGAGTCCGCATGCTTGATAACTGCTATAACACACTTGCATCTTCCATGGCCTTGATCCACCTGTAAAACAGAGGAGAGGGAACATTTAGGTGTCATGGCTCTGCGACTCTGGTCACAGAACCTTTATGTGACTAGGTGGACTAGGTGACTATTACCTGAGGTCATATTCATATTTGTTGCCTAGCATTTAGCAAAAGGTCTGGAACACAGTGTAAAGGCTTGCTGAATCAATGCACGCCTGTATGAACGAATCATGATAATCTTTAAAAAATCTCATGATCAGGAACAGATAGTTCCATTGCTGTGGCCCAAAGGGATTTGATGGAACAGGATGGCTGGAGCAGAGAGCATCCAAAGCCCTGGGTAGCAACTTGTTTCCTTCCAGAGGGAGAGGCAAGGATAGTTATTTGGGTACCTCTGAGCTGAATTGGTATCCTCTGCTTTGAAGCTATAAAATAGGGTTTTCTTGTGGTAGAGGTGAAAAATAGGTCCTACTTCACTGCTGCCCTCTTCCTTTTCTGGGGCAATGGTGAAACCGAGCAGGGGCATACTCTCCATGGCCACTGTGTCCTGCAGAGGGCAAAAGGGAAAACTGATAGTAAACACCACACAACACACAGTCAATTGCTTAGCATTTACCGTTACCTCTGATTTAAGATGCACGATGCGCTCTTCTGTGTAGGGCATGCTTTGGCAACTCTAGACCAGCCACACACATACTCTTTACCCCTGATCCCGCCAGGACCAATCACGAGGAGGGAAAGAAACTTAACACTCTGTGACAGCCTATTAGGGCCCAGGCATTTTTATCTTTACATTATCATGCCGAATCTTTCACAACAATCATAGAAGGTGTCACTCCTGTTCTAAGAGGAAACTGAGGCTCAGAGAAGGTAAATAACTCCCCAAGATTAATTACACAGTTTAGTAAGGGGCTGAGCCAGAACTTGGACTCATGACCACCTTCTAACACTGCGTTCTTCAGGCTGACTCGAATAGTCAGTGACTCTGTTTTCCGTTAGTACTTTCGATAACATACCCTGTACTCATTCCCCCATGCCCTCATTCACAATGCCTCAATATGGAGCACTCAGGGTGTCTGTCCTATCAACTTGCTAAAAATTTCATGACATGTACACAGAGAACATAAATGGATCTTAAAATCACAGTGCTCAGAGGAAAAAAGATTTATATATATATAGATATGTTCATACATACATATTTATATAAAAATACATTCTCGGGGCGCCTGGGTGGCGCAGTCGGTTAAGCGTCCGACTTCAGCCAGGTCACGATCTCGCGGTCCGTGAGTTCGAGCCCCGCGTCGGGCTCTGGGCTGATGGCTCAAAGCCTGGAGCCTGTTTCCGATTCTGTGTCTCCCTCTCTCTCTGCCCCTCCCCCGTTCATGCTCTGTCTCTCTCTGTCCCAAAAATAAATAAACGTTGAAAAAAAAAATTTAAAAAAAATAAAATAAAATAAAAATACATTCTCATAAAATACTTTATTAAACCATACAAAAACAGATATAATTAGCTAAGCAATTAGTTAAAATATAATTAGCTAAGAAGGCTGGGGGAAGAGAAGGAGGGGGAGCTGAGGTTGTATATAAAAGGGAATCAATTTTCAAAGACTGCTGGACCAGAAAAAGAATCTGACAAAATTCAATATCGATTCATGATTAAAAAAAAAAAAAACCTCCGCAAACTAGGATTAGAAGGGGACTTCCTTAATCTGAGGGCATCCGTAAAATAACTACAGCTAACATCTTAAGAGTGAAATACTGAATGCTTTTCCTCTAAGATTGGGAATAAGGCAAGAGGGTACTCGCTCCCACCAATTAAATTCAAAATTATACTGGAGTTCCTAGCTATTGCAGTACAGCAAGAAGAAGAAAGACATAAAGATAAGAAAAAGAAGTTAAATGATCTATGCTTGCAAAGGGCTTGTTTGATTATAAAACAACTACTAGAACCAATAATTTAGCAAGGTCACAGCATAATCATTTTTTTTTATATCTGTGTACTAGCAGCAAGTAACTAGCAAATAAATGCCATTCAATATAGCATCCAAAAAGAAAAACAACAAAGTAGCATCTAAAAAATAAAATAGGAATAAAGTTAACAAAAATGCAAGAACAGAAGTATAAGATCTCTATACTAAAACTCCAAAACATAAAAGGAAAAATTAAAGAACTACATACATGAAGATTTATACCATGTTCATAGATTTGAAGATTTAATATTGTTAAGATGCCAATTCTCCCCAAGTTGCTTCAACAATCCCCGTCATAATCTTAGGCTTTTTGGTAGAATTGACAAGTTTACATGGAAACACAAAATACCTAGAATACTCCAAACGATCTTTAAAAAGAAAAATGTTGGAGGCTTATGCAACCTGACTTCAAGACTTACTATAAAGTTCTAGTGATTAAGGTAGTAAGGCAGTGGCATAAGAATTGGTAAATATTATCAGTGAAACAGAATAGAAAACCCAGAGATAGGTCCAAATGTATTTAGCCATTTGATATTTAACAAAGGGACCAAATAATCCTATAAGGAAAGGAAAATCTTTTTTAATGAGTTGTGCTCAAATAACTGGATATCCATTTGGGAAAAAAATGAACCTCAACTCCTATCTCACACCACACTCAATAATTAATTTCAGATAGACCTCAGTGTAAAAACTGAAACATTAAAGTTGTCAGAAGCAAATATGGGGAACAACTTGTGACCTGCAGACAAAAGTTTCTTATGATATGAAAAGCAATGGCCATAAAGGAAAATACTGATAAATTTGGTTAAGTTTAAAACTTCTGTTCATCAAAACAACAGAACAAATTCATTCATTAAGAAAATGCACAGGCAAGCCAAAAACAGGGAGAGAATGTTCACAAAACATTTATCTGACAAAAGACTGGTATCCAAGATATGTAAAGAACTCCTATAACTCAATAAGAAGAAGACAACCTACTTAAAAACTTGTCTAAGAGATCTGAACAGACACTTCTCAAAGGGAAATCCATAAATAGCCAATAAGCACATTAACAATATCATTAGTCATTATGGAAATTTAAACTAAAACCACACTGAGATACTAGTAAATTAAAGACTGACAATACCAAGTGTTGACAAAGATGTGGAACAACCATAAATCTCACATGTAAATGTGAGGGGGATGTAAAATGGTAGATAATTTTGCAAAAGGTCTGTAATTTCTGATAAACCAAACGTATACCTTCCTATGATCCAGAAATTCCAATTGTAGGTGTCTACCCAAGTGAAATAAAAAAACCTATTTTCACATAAAAATCTGTACATAAAAGTTTAAAGTGGCTTCATTCATTACAACCCAAAACTGGAAACAACCCAAATGTCCTTCAACTGATGAGTGGGAAAACAAATGGTGATGTGTTCACAACATGGAATACTACTCAGTATAAAATGTAATGACCTATTGCTATATTCAAAAACACAGGTGAATCTCAAACACATCATGCTGAATGGAAGAAATCACATTTGTATGAGATTCCATTTATATGAAGATCTGAAAGAGATAAAACTAATCTCTGGTGGAAGGGAATGAGGTGGGGATACACAGGTACATGACAGGGGTTCACGGTAGTATAGACAGTGAAAACTGGCTATCCGTTTTATCAAACCTTTTTTCTTTGATGGAATTTGAGAGCTTAGTGCTATCAGTGATATGACCTTACTAAGAAATTGTACAAGTTCCTCTCTATAGAAAAAACTACTTTGGAAGCATACTTAAAATCCATCTATCAACTTAGCAGGGGGAGGGGGGGGCGCCTGGGTGGCTCAGTTGGTTAAGCATCTGACTCTTGATTTCAGCTCATGTCATGATCTCGAGGTTTGTGAGATCAAGCCCTGCATCAGGCTCTGTGTTGTCAGTGCAGAGCCTGCTTGGGGTTCTCTCTCTCCCTCTCTTGCTGCCCCTCTCCTACTCCCCCCGCTCTCAAAATCAATAAACATGAAAAAAATTAAAAAAAACAAACTTAGGGTGTCACTTCCATGACAACTGTTGCTCATGACCTAGAGACTCTGGCTTTTCCATTCTCACACAGGACTCACCTCTATTTGGTGGTTATTTAATCATCACTGGCCTTTGTTCACCTGTCTAATCCTGCATTTCTTCGCAAAGAGTGTTCCACGGGATGGAATGGTTCCACAAGACGCTCCATGAGGAAGGGCCCATGGTCAGGCCAGCTTGGGAAATCTCCTTATTTCAGAGACCCACAGCTCTCCTTGGTACATTAGAGATTCTGAGAAGTACTCCTGTGAGGCAGTCCCACGAACTGCCTACTCAAGGTTCCCTCAGAACCCAGTTTTTAGAGAACTCCTGTGAGCGTCCTGCGCAATACCTACTTTGGAAGATGCTCTGGGCTGCAGGTGGACATCGTATCACATTTCAGTTTGTTCTGGAAAGATCAAAATTTTCCCTAGCTCAAAAATCCTCTGCTCCTCTACGGACATGTCAGTGAGGGCTTGGCTCACACAGCACCTGAGTGACTCAGACTACAGTGGGTACCCCCTCCGAGCCTGTCTGTGTCCCTCCTAGCCTCTGGGATTCCCTGAGGAAGGAGCAGGCTGCAACCATCACAGTTGCAGGTCTTTTGTGAGAGAAACTTTATGCCCTGAAAAAGGAAGTGCCCTCTGCACACTGGCCAGCATTGGGGAGTGGGGGGGGGGGCAGGGGCAGGGTAGAAAGGCCAGCTTTGTGCTGATGTGAACATCCTCCTGGGGTAAAGCACACACCCTCTGCAGCAAATCACATTCAAGTCCCATTTTCTTTCTTGCTTTTTTTTTTTTTTAATTATTATTAATTTATTTTTGAGAGAAAGAGAAAGAGAGCAGGGGAGGAGCAGAGAGAAAGGGGGAGAGAGAGAATCCCAAGCAGGCTCTGTGCTGTCAGTGCAGAAATCAAGAGCCGGATGCTTAACAGACTGAGCCACCCAGGTGCCCCTAAGACCAATTTTCAGAGTGGGTTTAGCCCATGGAAGCCACCAGATGGTGAGGCCTGGACATGGAAATCTTCCAAACTATCCTACAGAATCAGCCTGGGTCAAGACCAGACAGCTCCCTGCTGTATAACCATAGCCCACACCTGTCTACTCTGGAAGCAAGCTTCACTCCCAAGGCCCTCTCTCCTACATTTTATAAGACATAAAGGTAAGATGATCTATAAAAACAGAAACTTAAGTTTTATTTGGTACAAGTGTTACCATGAAGCAGTGTAGCTCCCTGATAAAAGAAATGCACGGAGCAAAAGTGTGGTAGCTTTCTCTAAGCTGTTGAGTTCTGTCCCAAACAACCAGGTGGAGAGCAGAAAGCAGCCTGCTCTTATAGAGTGCTTGGCTTGTGCTGGATGCTGGGCCTGTGACATTCAAACCACCTGGGTGCACACACAGGTCTGCACACTGTACTGCCTTATCTCCATGGAGGAATGGTCAATTCTTTAGATCTGGAACCAACACGTGGTTGGGTATCCACAGCAGCACTCAGCACATGGTATTGCTCGATACAGACTTGAATGACATGGGAACAGCATCCCGGCCTCACATGGCCCTGCAGGTGACGGGGTGTTGTGCATGCCCAGATGGACATTCTGAGGCGTGAGATTAACCTGAGGGCCGTCACAGATGAGAAGAGAGAAAGCAAGAATCGCCACTACCTCACTGGCCATATAGGTGTAGAGCACTTTGCCTTTGATGACGAACCAGAGCTTCTTCCAGTGCCTCTTGCCTTTCTTGCACCGGTTGAGATAGCCACTGATGGCAGAGCCCTCTCCGGAGGCGGCCACCTGACAGAAGGGAAGCAGAGTGGTCAGGACAGCAGGTGGTAGACATAGTTCAGACAGAGCTAAAGTGACACTGCAAACCAGTTGGCAGAGAGTGTTTATACTGCTTTGAAATCTGAGACTTGGATGAGGTCTCAGGATACATCCAGTACCTCAAAAGCAGCAAAACAGTACCAGGGATTAAGACAGGATTTACTGAATGCACCCAGGAAACACAAGAGTCAAAAACAGCCTTCGGGAGTGCTGTCCCGAGTGGTGTTGCAGATTCTTGGCTCCCTCTCCCCAGTTCCCAAGCCCCCAAAACATGAAACTGCAGATATTTGAGGGAAAGGTTCTTCCCTCTAAAACTGATTCTTATAAGAGTTAATACCTATTCTTGTCAAACTAGTCCAAAAAACAGAAAAGGAAGGAAAATTCCCAAGTTCATTTTATGAGGCCAGCATTACCCTGACATCAAAACCAGATAAAGACACCACCAAAAGAGAGAACTACAGGCCAAATATCTCTGGTGAATATAGATGCAAAAATCCTCAACAAAATACTAGCAAACCGAATCCAACAATATATTAAAAAAATCATTCACCACAATCAAGTGGGATTTATTCCTATGTTTTAAGGGTAGTTCAACATTTGCAAATCAATCAACACAATACATCACATTAACAAAATAAAAGAACAAGAACCATATGATTAGTTCAATAGATGTGGAAAAAGCATTTGACAAAGTACATCCTTTCATGATAAAAACCCTCAACACAGTAGGTTTAGAGGAAACATGCCTTGACAAAGGCCACATGAAAAACACACATCTAGTGTCATCCTAAATAGGGTAAATTGAGAGCTTTTCCTTTGTGGTCAGGAACAAGACAGGGATGTCCACTCTCACTACTTCTATGCAACATAGTACTAGAAGTCCTAGCCATAGCAATCAGATAACAAAAAGAAATAAAAGGGATCCCAACTGGGGTGCCTGGCTGGTTCAGTCAGTGGACCATGTGACTCAATCTCAGGGTCATGAGTTCAAGATCCATGTTGGGTGTAGAGATTACTTACAAAAAAAAAAGTATCCAAATTGGCAAGGAAGAAATAAAACTTACACTATTTGCAGATGACATGATACTATACATAGAAAACCCAAAAGACTCCATCAAATACCTGCTAGAAATGATAAAATAAATTCAGTAAAATTGCAGGACACAAAATCATTGTATAGAAATCTGTTGCATGAGAAATTAAAGAATCTCATTTACAATTTACTATTGCATCAAAAATAATAAGATACCTAGGAATAAACCTAACAAAAGAGATTAAAGACCTGTACTCTGAAAACTATAGAATAATGATAAAAAAATTGAAGAAGACACAAAGAAATGGAAAGACATTCCATGCTCATGGATTGGAAGAATAAATATTGCTAAAATGTCTGTACTACCCAAAGCAATCTACACATTTCATGCAATCCCTATCAAAATATCACAGACTTAGAACAAACAATCCTAAAATTTGTATGGAACCACAAAAGTCCCCAAATAGCCAAAGCAATCTTGAAAAGGAAAAGCAAAGCTGGAGGCATTGCAATTCCAGACTTTGAGTTATATTACAAAGCTGTAGTCATCAAAAAAGTATGGTACCGGCACAAAAACAGACAACATAGATCAATGTAACAGAATAGAAACCCCAGAAATGAGCCCACAACTATATGGTCAATTAATCTTTGACAAAGCAGGAAAGAATATCCAACAGGACAAAGACTGTTTCTGTCAGCAAATAGTGTTGGGAAAACTGGATGGCAACATGCAAAAGACTGAAACTGGATCACTTTCTTACACCACACACAAAAATAAATTCAAAATGGATAAAAGACCTAAATGTGAGACAGGAAACCATCAAAATCCTAGAGGAGAACATAGGCAGTAATTTCTTTGACATTAGCCATAGCAACTTCTTTCTAGGTATGTCTCCTGAGGCAAGGGAAACAACAGCAAAAATAAACTATTGGAGTTATTTCAAAATAAGAAGCTTCTGCACAGCAAAGAAAACAATCAATAAAACTAAAATACAACCTACTGAATGGGAGAAGATATTGTAAATGACATATCCAATAAAGGGTTAGTATTCAAAATATATAAAGAATGTATACAAATCAACACCCAGAAAACAAATAGCCCAATTAAAAAATGGGCAGAAAACTTGAACAGACATTTCTCCAAAGAAGACCTACATGTGGCCAACAAACATGTGAAAAGATGTTCATTATCACTTACCATCAGGGAAATTCAAAACAAAACCACAATGAGATAACATCACACACCTGTCAGAATGGCTAAAATCAACAACACAAGAAACAACAGGTGTTGGCAAGGATGTGAAGAAAGGGGGACCCTTGTGTACTGTTGGTGGGAATGAAAACTGGTACAGCCACTCTGGAAAACAGAATGGAGGTTCCTCAAAAAGTTAAAAATAGAACTATCCTACCATCTATCAATCACACTAGAGGAATGGATAAAGAAGTGGTATACACATACAATGGAATATTAGCCATGAAAAAGAACGAAATCTTGCCATTTGCAACAACATAGATGGAGCTAGAGAGTATCATCCTAAGTGAAATAAGTCAGAGAAAGACAAATACCGTACGATTTCATTCATATGTGGAATTTAAGAAACAAAACAAATGAGCAAAGGGGGAAACAAGAGACAAACCAAGAAACAGACTCTTAACTACATAGAACAAACTGATGGTTACCGGAGGGGAGATGGGTAGAGGAATAGGGGAGATAGGTGATGGAGATTAGGAGGGCACTGGTCATGAGGAGCCCCAGGTGTTGTATGTAAGTACTGAATCACTATATTGTATACCTGAAACTAATATTACGCTGTAAACTGGAATTTAAAGAAAAACTTTAAAAAACTCCACACATACATGTTCAAAACATTGATTCTTATACTTTTAAGCTTATCTCTTATACTAAAAGGATAAGAGGATGGATCTTAAAGATGGATCCTCTTTTTAATGTTTACTTAAAAGGTCTGCCTAATGGGGAATGTTAACTCCTGTTGTTATTAGAAGCAGTACTTGTCTGTTGCACAGTCTTTATGTGGAGGTTCAGAACACAGGTGTAGAGTAATACCAGTCTGGGGCTCCAGTCCAGGTTCTCCCAGTTATTTGATGGGCAATGTGGGCAATTACTTCTTTGAAGTCTCAGTTTCGCTGTTATTAAAACTGGGATTAAATGACACAAGACAGGTGCCTGACAGGTATAGTGCCTCGCCTACAGGAACTGCTCATAAATACCAATCTTACTATTGGAGAAAGAAGGTCAGGTTTGGAAATAATTTAATCTGACTTTCCCATTTTACAGATGGGCCTGGAGGCATGGAGGGATCTACCAAAGGTCAAATCCCTACCTAGCTGAAGAGAAGATAAGAACTTGGATCTCTTGGCAAGTACTCTGAAGGTCGATGAACTTTACTGAAGGGAAAGGAGGCCACCACCAGCCTGGGCTGTCTTGAGAAGTACCAGGAAAGGAGTCTGTCTCCGCCACAGGTTCCAAGACTCCTAGAACCAGACACGAGCTTTCTCTCCTGGCACTTGCCCTGTTGGGGCAGCTCATAGAGTGAGGAAAGGCAGAGTGGACAGAACACATTGGAAGAAACCGATTCTGCAACCTCCCTTTCTGGCAGATGCTCAGGAGGCAGCATTTCTGCAGACTTTCTCATGGGGAGTAGGGCTTGCTGCAGAGATGGTGCTCCTGGGGGAAGGGGACAGGGCAGTGGGGGGTAGGGTGGGGCACATTTCTCCTGGGGCTGCTGCAAATCCCACTAAGTGTAATCTTTGCTGGATAATAAAAAGGTTGTCACTTTAAGCAAAAATTACTAAAGGGCTGGCTGGGGCACCAGCATCAGAGCTGCTCGACTCTGGAAGGCTAAGAGCAGTGGTTCTCAAACTCTGTGCCCGTGGAACACTCAGGTTCTGTGAGCCACCACAGAAGGAGTGAGAGGTGATCTTTTCTAATTACTGGAAAGGGATGACTTACAACCACACGATGTAAAACGTGTGAGATCTGCATGTGTCAGCAAATGTGGAATGATAGTTAAGAGAAATGAAGTGTGAAAATGTACAGAAGATTTAGTACAATTTGTTGTATTTCGGGTAAAAAGAAAGAGGATCTATGAATGTGCATCTTTATTATGTATATGCATTAAAATTTCTGGAAGGATCGATAAGAAACTTCATGGTTACTTCTGGGGGTGGTGGGACTGGAGGAGTTCAGGGAGGGAGAGAAAAACATACGTTTCATCAGGTATTCCTTTGTGTTCTGAAAAAAATTTTTTTACCACGTGTTATTCTCAAGATTTTTAATATGCAAAGGTATTAAGTTAATGAATAGAACAGTACCTCTTTAAATATTTCATACCCTAACACTTCTTAAAACCCTTGCCACCAGCTACTCAATAATGAATATTAATGCAAAAACTTGGAAACAGCTGATCATGCTCTTTTGACAGCTTGTATATTCACGGGCACACATTTGTTTGTGGTTGTGATCAGAATATAAACATAGAATCTGGCCCTCCTTACAGAACGGACTTGAGTTTAACCAATGGTGAGGTTTCCTGCACAGAGTCCCACACCCTCCAGGAGGCTCAGCACCTGAGGCCATTTGGGACCCACAGGCTGAGTGGATGGCACAATTCCAAGGGCCTGCCGGGGAGGGCGAAGTCAGGACTGTAGCTGTTTTAGTCAGAAGAGTACCAGTGATCTGTGCAAGAGCCCCAGTGATCTGTGCACCACTGCTGGGAACCTGACCTGGTCCAGGCTATGTGACAGGAAAGAAAGTAAGGAGAAAAAAAGAAACACTTGGAGGGGAGAAGGGGAGAGAGGAATGGGAAAGGCTTCTAGCACCATCCACAACCATTTGGGGTCCTGCCTTCTGCCACCAATCAGACATGTTCTCAGTCATGCCCAGAAGACAGGCCCTGTTAGTGGTGAGTTACTCCTTGTAGCTAGAATGTCTCATGTTAGGAATTCTCTTTGTCCTGTAAAGTTCAGTCAGCCTGGGGCAGGTTCTGACCCTGTCCGAGGAAGGCCATGAACCTTCTAAATCCCTTGCCTCCCACACAGGCAGTCTACCTGCCTTACCTCAGTCAGGGCTGAAGGAACTTTCTTCTGCTTCTTGAAGGTTGAGGGGTTGATGCTGTGGAAGACGGACGAGAAGGCACTGCTCGAGAAGCGTGGGGAGGACAGGGGAAAGCTCATGCTCACGGGCCGCTCTGTAACCAAGACAAGCCATGGAGGAATGGAGGTGAGTGTCCATGCAGACAGGCATGCATCTTGCTTTGGAATGCCAATTCCTGTAAAATTAGAGCTCCTGGTCCCTCCTGCGATGGAAATCAGCTTCATGATGGGGGTTAGGTGTGACCAGAAGAACAGGCACACTCTATCTACTGACACAAAGTCCACGGGAGCCAAGAAGGAAGGCTTTTTCTGGGTGCTGGCTATCCCTTCTTCACCTGGGCTGTCCTCTGTGATGGCCTCGGGGGGCTCCAGAGAGGAGAAATCTTTGGTCTTAAGTCCAGGATACACTTGCTGTCCCTCTGGCCTGACCCTGCTTGGACAAAGCCTGGACCCTGAGCACAGTCTCTCAAGGGCTAGCACAGCTTCCCCAGGTTCCTTTCTCAGTCAAAGAGCCCTCAGCCCTTCCCTGATCCACAACTCCTCTGCTATCCGTCTTACAATCCTTATCCTGAAAAAGTCCCATAGAACACAGGCCTACAGAACATTTTCAAAAAGAGGGCCGCTATGGCAAAGTAACCATGAGTCACCACGCCTACCGTCCCCTTCACAGAGATGCACTGACCCAGCGTTTCCCAAGCTTAGCTGTCTGCAGAACGCTTCCTCTGGCAGTGCCTATTGATTTATTGTGGAACCACTATTTTGGGAAATGGTCCCCCAGGTATGGTTTAAATCCCTCTTTCTTCCTTCAGGACTGCTTTTGTTCTGAGCCTCCCCAGAAAAGTAGTTTCAGGCACCAACCACGGGCCGGCGAGAAGCCACGTGGGCCACCTGGAAGAACGGAGATGGTGTCCCCAGGTTACCTCTCATCATGCCTGGGACATCCCCGCCCCTCTTCTTCAGCTCCCCATAGCAGCCATCACAGACCTTGGCCATCCGGTCCTTGAGGTACTTCAGGGGGTACTTGTTTCTCGAACAATTCCGGCACACGATCTGCAGGCCCAGTTGGGGACACACATTGGAATGGTTCTCACCCTCTGCATGTGCAGAGGGCCAGCATCCCCTCCCCTCTGCCAACCCCCCCCCACCCCACCTCTCCAGGGACCCCGTGTTCTGAGCACAGAACTGTGTCGGATCGCCCTGCTTTTCCATTGTGAAGGTACAGAGTTTCTGTGCAAGTGTTTTTATCAGTTTTTCTGATGAGTCCTTAACTAGGACATGATACGTTTTCTCCTGGGACAATAACCATGTGTGCTATGGTTGTCTTTTGGGAGTACGGTGGTATAGTGAAATGGGATTTGGAGCCCTGGTTTGAGACTATCAGTAAAATGGGTATTAACAATCTCTACCTCGCAGGGTTGGTGTGAAAACACCCTTCCCTGGGCCTGACACTCAGTAGCTGCTGGATATCCCTGACAGCCAACCCCACATGACTCTATGTACACACTCACCCAGGTGAGGTGACTCACCTTGCCACAGGCGTGGCAGTGATGACGCCTCAGGGTGAGGGAGAAGTCACAGCCACAGTTCATGCACATCATAACATGTGTGACAGGCACCAGGGTGGGGGGCCTCTCCCCCAAGCTGACCCCCAGCCTCTCCCGTATCTGGAACAAAGGAATCGGGTGAGCAATGTGGTCAGGAGATAGCTAGATGGGTGCCCTCTTTCCTGTGCAGGATGTGTACGTGTAGGGTAGATCCTAATTCTACAACCCCCTCCACCGCACGGTGGCTTCCAGGATCCTAACCTTGGGTCAGAAACAGAGCCAATGGGAAGTGCTGTATTTGGGCTGCACAGTGACTGCCTGGCTGTGGGGGAGTGTGGTGGGAAGGGAAGGAGAAGGGGTGTGATGGAAGGAGCTGAGAGCCCTCCTGGGTGTATGGGTGCCCAGGGAAACCCAGGGCTGGGAGACTGGCATCAGGTGGGTCTCAGGGCCCTCCACTCACCTCCACGCTGTGGTGAAAGGCAGCCAGAGCCTGGGCCTTGTAATCCTCAGGGAGGGCTCTACTCAGACAGCTGTGCCACTCATCTCGCTCAGCACAGGAGCTGTGGACACAAGCTGGCGTGAACAAGGCATGCAGGTGTGCACGGCGGCTCTGCCTCTGCTTCTCAGTGTAGATCAAGTCCCCCCACGTTTCCCCTGGCTGTGCCTGTCAGTGTCTGAAATCCCACCGAGCACTGGCCACCTGCCAGATCAGCCTAGGATCATAACTCAGCACCTCCATCTACTAGAAGGGTGGCCAGGGCATGCTAGCTGTCCTCTGGGCCTGCTTCTTTACCTGTAAATGGCACTGTCAACACTATCCCTCTAACTCCCAGTACTGTTGTGGGAAGAAATGACATGTGGGACATGGGTGGACTTTGTTAATGGCAAAGCACCATGCAAAAGCAGGGGCATTAGGAAGATGTAGAGAGTCCCACACTTGAGGAGGGACAGGGGACAGGGTGCAGAGGGCTGTGTACATGGGGAGGGGATGGCTAGGTGAAGTTGGAAAATATCAACATCCTCGTCTCTCCATCTTCCTCCTCATTTTCCCACATAGCTTCCCAGACACCCCCTCCCCAACAAGATGACTTCCCAAATTCCCACTCCACACCCTGCCCTTCAGGGTTGCCTGAGCTTTGAGCTCTGCCCCAAGAGGTAGAGTGGTGGAAATTCTCCCAGGACCCACTAGGTGTCGCTCCCACCTTGCGTAAGTGTGTGGTCTGCCCCAGGAAAGCCAGGATAAGGCATCTCTTTGGCCTGGGAAGGAGGGACGGGGGTAGGGGGTGGGTAGGGTGGCGATGGGGTCAGAGGAGGTGCCTGAGACCGGGCAGGTGCCCAGTGCATGCTACTCGTGTCATCAACACTTAACTATTACTTGCAGTTATGCTCTACGTTGTAATTGGTACACAACTCTCCCGCCCTTAATGTGAGCTTCTCCCTGAGCACATCAAGGTTTAAATCTGTGTCCTCAGCACAGGGCCTGGCACTGAGGAGTGGCTAATAAATGCTAAATGAGCAAATGCATCTGCATGAGAACGTGATGTGCACTACGCCACACAGAGGGCATTGCTGCCTCCTGCCAGGGTCACATATCAGCTGTGAGGGGAGACACCCATGCCTTGGTGACCCTGTCTCAGCCCCCACAGTGGCCCCAGCAGAAGCCACACCTCCCTGGTTTCTGAGCCTAGAGAGCTGGAGCTGGCCTTGCCCTGAAAGAGGGAGGGGGAAGCTCTTTTGCTGCCCATAGTGACTGAGGCAGGGTCCCTGGGCAGCCTGAAGGCCTGGAGAAAACACAGACCCTTCTGAGAAAAAGGCCACACCCCCAAACCAGGGAAAGGCAAATGATGAATGCTCACTCATTATGTTTTTCTCTCAATCTCCGGGCATGAAAGCCTAAAAGCTGACCACTTTATGAACTAAGGTGCACAATGCGTTTTTTGCTCACCTTAACTTCTTTACTTGCATTACTGTAAAGACCCAATCAATAATCCATAGACGTTTACAAACATGAGATATTGTTATTATTGTATTTAAAAGAAGAGGCTCTAAAAAATAAGTCCTTAGACCCAAAATAATACCAAATAGAAATGACTCATTCAGCTTGTTATTCCAAACTTTAACACCTATAAAATCCTGTGTCCCTATCCCCCAGACCCTCCCTCTACCCACTTCCCCATACCTGGCAGATAGAGTCAGGCAGGACTGGGAAGTCTCAATCTTTAGGGCATAGGGCACTTTCTCCATCACGGGGCGGCTGACCTGGAAAATCAAAGCAGCCCCTCAGGGCAGGGGCAGGGAGGGGCAACCATAGACTGGATTCTTCTCTTGGTCCTACCACTGTCCCTCTCTGAGCCTGAGTTTCCTCATCTGCAAAGGGTAAACTTTTGTTTGATGGTACAGGGTGTGTGTGTGTGTGTGTGTGTGTGTGTGTGTGTGTGCATCTGTGGAGAGGGGAGTGCCGGCTCCAACTGTGTGGTCTGTAGGCACCCATCCACCCCTAAGAAAGTGGGTATGCACCTAAAAGGATTGAAAGCGGGGTCTCAAAGTGATCCCCGTATACCATGTTCATAGCAGCATTATTCACAATAGCCAAAAGGTGGAAGCAACTCAAGTGTCCATCTATGGATGAATGGAAAAACAAAAATGGTCTATATGTACAACGGAATATCATTAAACCATAAAAAAGTAAGGAAATTCTGACACAGGCTGCAACATGAACTCACCTTGAGGACACTGTGCTGAAATGGGCCAGTCACAAAAAGACAAATACTGTATGATTCTACTCATGTGAATTATCTAGAGCAAATTCCTAGAGACAGACAGTAGGATGGTGGGTGCCAGGGGTAGGGGGCTGGAGGAATAGGGAGTTAGTGTTCAATGGGGAGAGTTTCATCTAGGGATGATAAAAAAGTTCTAGAAATGAATGGTAGTGACGGTTGCACAACAGTGTGAATGTGCGTAATGCCGCTAAACTGTATGCTTAAAAATGGTTAACAGGTACATTTTATGTTATGTATATTTTATCACAATTTAAAAAACTTTGCCATACCCCCACTTTGTTTCCTCCCTCCAAGGGTTTCCTTATGAATTGCCCTTTTTTTAGGATGCCTTTTCCTCTTCCCCATCTGTCCAAATATTATCTACCATAAGGGACTCAGTGCCCCTCCTCCAGGTATTCCTCCTACCCTCTCCCCTCTCCTGCTGTAACCCACAATATAACGCTGTTTCCTTGGGGCTGCCTCTTCCCACTGGTCCCACTGGTATGTGGGCTCCTAGAAGCGGGGATGCTATCTCTCCTCCCCTGGGATCTCCCTCCACCCACCCAACAGGGTGCTTAACACCAAGCATTTACCTTCATGCTGGCCATTGACAACGTGTTCTTCAGCCGGTACTTCCCATCTTTCTGGGGATACGTGTATAGGAGCACATCACTCATCTGGGGAGAAGGAAATCCCATCAGACATGTCTTGACCCCAGAAGGCAACGTAGGCTGTGTCCTGGAGGATCACTGACCTCTGGGGAGCAGAGGCATCCTGCATTCCCCAGTGACCCCCCACAGGAGAGCATAACCACTCTGAGCTAAAATGTGAGTCCTTTCCCTGAAATTCCACTCCTAGGTAGAAACTTAAAGAGGAAATAAATGCAGATGTCCACAAAAAGTCAAGTGCAGGAATGTTCACAGAGGCTTTATTCATAAGAGCCAAATAGTGGAAACGACCCAAATGTCTACTCAACAGGCGACTGCATCAAAGAACCAGGTAGCACTGTGGAGTACTACGTAGCAACCAAAAGGAACTGATGGTACACACGACAGCATGGGTGAATTTCGAAGACATGCCAAGTGAAAGAAGCCAGACACAGAGGAGGATACACTGCTTCATAACATTTATATGAAGTACCAGATGAGGAGGCAAAGCTAACCTGTAGTGATGGAAATTAGGCCAGTGGTTGCCCGAACAGGGGGTGGAGGAAGTGAGTGCTAAGAGGCACAGGTGAACATTCAAGAAACATTCTGTATCTTGGGGCGCCTGGATGGCTCAGTCGGTTAAGCGCCGACTTTGGCTCGGGTCGTGATCTCACGGTTCGTGGGTTCAAGCCCCACATTGGGCTCTGTGCTGTCAGCTCAGAGCCTGGAGCCTGCTTGGGATTCTGTGTCTCCCTCTCTCTCTGCCCCTCCCCAGCTCACACTCTGTTTCTCTCTCCTTCAAAAATAAATAAACATTAAAAAAAAAAAAAAAGAAATATTCTGTATCTTGATCCAGAGGGTGGTTACACAATGATACACATTAGTCAATAGGCAGATATATACACTTAAGATTGATGCATTTTACTCTGTAAATGAAGACTCCATAAAGTATAGTCAAAGAAGGAAGAGAGAGAGGGAGGGAGGAAGCTCCTTGAACATAGAAAGCTGGTGGGTCCTGGTCACTGGTGTACCTCCAGTAGGTACTCAATTAATATTTGCTAACTGAACAATTGAAGCTCCTTGCCCCCATGCAAGGCAGACCAGAAGGAACATAGTGCAAGTCCCCTCACCTCCTTAGGGGAGAGCATTTCTGTTTAGCTAAAAGGTTTACAGTTTGAAAAGACACGTCAATCTTCACTCTGCTCTGTAGCAGCTGTGTGACTGTGGACAGGCCATTTCTCTCTCTCTGAGCCCCAGCTTCCTCCCTGCAAAGAAGGGGTCATTGCTGCCCCTACCATATTACAGAGGCCGAGACAGAGAATGGCCCCAGTGAGCCCACTGTATGTAGGAGCCAGTGTAAACTAGGGGTGTTGCAAGGACTGAACAGGACAAGGCATCTAAGGGGCTGAAACAGAGCAAGAACTCAGGATTAGCACTTCCTCTCCCTGTAGAGAGTCTGCTGAGGGAGGGAAAAGAATAGATGAGACTTCCTGCCTCCAGCTCTTAGGATCCCAACATCCCAATATGCCAACAAGAGCAGTGTGGGACACCTGGCTTGGACACAGAGCCGCTGGGTGGACTCAGGCAAACCCTTCCTCTCTCTGGACCTCACTGTCTCTAACCAGAGTTGGGAGTAGACCAGGAGCCAGAAAAATTTTAATAAAGGGCTAGATAGTAAATATTTAAGTCTTTGCAGGTCATACAGTTTCTGTCACAACTATTCAACTCAGTCATTGTAGCCCAAAAGCATTCACAGACAATCCACTAACAGATGCATGAGACTGTGTTCCCATAGACCTTTATTAACAAAAACAGGTGTCAGGCTGACCCCCAGATCAGAGGAACCTTCAAAGACCCTTTCAGCTCTGCCCTTCTAATAATGACAAGAGCTACTGTCCTACTGGACGCTCACTCTGTGCCAGCTCCTGGGCTAAGCACCCTGATCTCAATTCATGCCTCCAACAATCCCATCAGGCAGGCACCATTATTATCATCCTCATTTCACAGACAGCTTAGACAACCTGCTCACAGGCACAAAGCTTGTAAGTGGCAGAGTCAGGGTCATCAGCAAATGAATGTGCCTCCAGTGTGTTCAGGTGTGGTGTGTGGGGGGTGGCCACGCAGTTGAGTTCTTGCCCCATCTGGGGACAGTGACCAAACCTGGGCACAGAGCCTTGCTCACAAGCCTGCCCACCCTGGGGAACTGGCTTGTGTCACTCATCAGAACGGTCCCTGCCTTTTTGCGGCTGCCCCTCATGCACCTGCTGCCATGGCAACTGCCATTAGCACCCTGGGGTTTTATGTGTGGTCAGAACCAGGCTGCCTCCTGATTGCCCACAGTTCTCTTCTTCAAAGCAGGTATTTTATAGCTCGATTTGGAGGAAGGGAGAGGAATCCTTCACGGAGGAGTAAAGGGGAATCTCTCACAATAATGAGCCACCAGTGGGGAACCCCACCTATCGCTTCGGGTCATGGTGGGAACCACTCTGTAGCATTACTGAAACCCCTGTGCATTGCATTGGTGGGCAGAGGCCCTGACTTTGTTCTACAGTTACAATTACTCTATGAAACTGGTACCTATGAGAAAGAAAAATTCTTAAGTGTGTTTATCACGGCTCTTCCTGGTTTAGGAACCTGTGTATCCTCTTCCCATCTCTCTCTCTAGGTGATATTTATGAAGGTCCTATGCTAAGACCGAGCAAAGAAGGGGACCCAGATTCAGCAGGAGCTATGGCCTAATTATAATGAGGGGATATGAGAGACCCAGGCCCAGCATGGAGATGAGTGAGGGAAAGGCCACGATGAAGCCAACTAGATGCTGGAGGGAACATGAGGGAGGGAAGAGAGACAGAAAAATGGGGAGAAAGGGAGAGGGGAAGGACAGACTTCTTACCCTTCCTTCTGGGCTTAACTAGGTACCATTTCTCCAGGAAACATATACTTAGCACAGTGTGTAGCACCAGTGAACATATAACAAACATCAGTGCTGCTGACGCTATTGTCCATCTTTTTATTCCCTGACTCTCGTTGACCTCCCTCTTTGCTCCCATAGACCTGATGTTCTGTCCATGTCATGCTCTTAACTCGGTAGTTACATTAGACACCGAAGGTTGACGGCACAGCATGAGACTTTATCTCTTTGTTTCCAGTGCCCAGCACATAGGGCAGTAAATATCTGAAACAGAGTTCTTAGACACTTACAGCCTGTTTATTATTACTTCTCACACAACCCTAACAAAGTATAAGAGGCTCTTAAGGGCAGCCTTGACTGACAGTAACAAAAAGTGAAAGTTAAAATCATGAAGAACAGAGAAAATTACACCCAGCAGGTAGAAGAACTTAAAAAGCAAAACAATTTTGGGCCATAGGATTGGGGAAAATTATTGCTTGTAGCTCAACAGCCACAGAGGTTGATGTTACCATGCAACAGGCCTGGACATTCCCTGGTATTCCAGACTGTGGCTGCAAATCATCAGAAATGTTACACTGTACTCTGTCTTGTGCACAGTGGAGAAAGTGCTAGACTGGGGTCACAACCCTGGTTCCCTTCTGGGCCTCTGCCACCAACCTGCTGGGAGATCTGGCCCAGGAAACTCCCCCTTCTAGATCTCAGCTTTCGTGCGTGTTAGATAAGGCAGTTGAACAGCTATCTCCAGTGTAAGAATTTCCCAGTGTTAGGATGTTTGAAATGGGGACACAGGCAATTAAATTTTGGCAACATTCCATTTAAAATCGCTCAAATAATCAATGAGGGAAAGACTGTGGTTGGCAATGGTTAAGCCCTCAGACCTCTGGAAAGCTCAGCTCTGTAGAATGATCTTCAGCCTAAATATTCGGCTCTGTTCTAGGCCCCCCACCCCCCAACTCCAGTTGCCTTTGAATAATGACCCAAGAAAATTTCACAAAATTTGACAGTCCGGGGGCTTGGCTGGGCACCAGGTACTTACCAGGAACAGGTGCCGGGGCCGTCTGCTTTTCCCTGTTACTTTCATCAGTGTCCCTTCCTTCAGAAACTCCTGTGGGGACAGAAGCAGACCTAAGAAGTCAGGCTGATGCCCAAGAAGAGTGGGGGGAGGCCCCGAGCAGGAAACTTAAATCTTGGTGCCTCCCAAAGTACCACAGAACAACTAATGGGTGAATTCCCGGCTTTAGCGAGATGCCCATGTTTGCTTCTTAGGAGCAGTCAGTCCGCCTTGACTTCTAGCAAGCCCCAGACACTGTTCTGGTCTCTGAGGGGTCGAGACAGTGACTCTTTCCCTCGTTTGCTGCCATGGGGAGCCCTTCAGAACAAAGCCTATGAAGGTTTGCTAAACAGCTGAAGACCCGTGAACGGTTGCTACAGGCTCATTAATTCTGGAGGATGATTAAAATAGATACCTAAAGTTACTTAACATAAAGAAAATATTTAATAAATATTTACTGAACTGGTGAGCCAAGGCCAAACCATTAGGTGTGATTTTATAGACTCTCAGACCAATGAGATCCCTGTTAATTTTGAATAAAATATCCTGAACATAACACCTCTCATGTCTATGTCTCTTGTCCTTCATTGACCATAACAGGTAACAAACATATCTTTGACTATTTTTGAGCTGAGTTTTGTGTTTTCCATTTGGAAGCTTAAAAGTGGGTAAATTTGTCTCTGGAAAAATGTTATTTTTAAGCTGCTTTGTAGGAGCATGGTTTTTGGGAGATGGTTTTCCTGATTTTCTAGCAATGCTGGGCTAAACTAAAAATACTTGGTGTCTCTTCTTCTTAGAGGTGAAAAGAACCACAGGGACATGAACCCAAATGGCACTGTTTCTTTAAAGGTCCGGAAAGTGGAAAACACCAGGGGAGGCAGCCCCTGGGCCTTGTGAGCCCAGCAGAACCCTTCCCCTGCCCTTCCCCCTCCCCCTCCTCGGGTAAACAGCACCTGCAGCCAGGCCTGTCTGGGACCAGCCCAGCTGAACAATGGGTCTTATCAGAGCCTCACCCGCCTGCCTACCAGGCCGCCCTCTGTCCCTGCCCATTGCGGCAGTGGCACTCACCCTTCCTGGCTGGAGGAGATCCCCTTGGCCTCGAACACTGTGCTCAATGTGGACCAGCTTCTGCAGGTTTTCCTGTGGGAGGAAGCAGGGCAATGGGGAGATGGTCAGGACCCCTTTAAGGAGTCTTATCCCTTCTATTAGAAGTGGCATTGCTTCTACCTCAAAGGAGGAAAACAGAGTTCAGGAGGGCCTTGCCCTAAATCTGACCTCCTGTCAGTGGCAGGACTGGGATCTGAGCCTGGCCTTGCAGGGTACCAGACATGTGGACTGCCCATACTCAGGCTAGTCCCTCTGGGCCTGCGATCTGACACCACCATCTTCTGTGTGCCATGGGGACAGTCACTTGCCCTTGTTGTGCTGATACCCATATTTATCGCTAGGCCATGGCTCCTCCTCTCAATCTGTGTCCCCTGAAAGGCCTGGAGCATCTAGCCATCACTAATCCAGAGGGGTCAGATGCCCAAGGCCAGACTCTCTCTGGGATTGCAGCCCGGGGGGGCCTCTGAGGGAAAGTAATCAAGAAAATTTTCCACCTGGGGAAGAAACAGATCTGTGTTCTTTGAAGAAAAATATGTGTGCCTGGGAACTCCTTGTTGGTCCCTCACTGGGCTATCCACAGTATGCAGTGACATACCTACCCTCCCTCTGCACAGTACCCCATTATGCTAGAAATAACAAGCACTTAACCCATGAGGTAGGTGTCCTCTGAACCTTATGCGGGGTCAGGGTCTTAAGTCAACTAATAAGGTGACAACTGTGTGTAGGGAAATTGCAAGGCAACACTGCCCCCACCTTTTCTCTAATAGTGAGAAAAAGATAACGTACAGAATCACAACTCTTCTCACACCTATTGGAGGCTGAAGTAAAAGGCAACCAACTGAACCGAATCCCAAAGACTGACAAGCCCCTTCAGAGACATGAGACACATGAATTGCTGCAACACACAGGAGGAGGAGGTGGCCAGCATAAAGGAGGATGAGAAGAAAGCAGCTAAAATGTTAATGGATTCTGAAAGGTTGGGTGGGGGCTGATGGGATAGTTTAGAATAACAGAGCCCCAGACACAGGAAAAATGCAGTCACTTGCAAGCTCTTCTCTCAAAGCTCCCACCAGGTGCTCACAAGGAACACTAGGGGCAGGGCAGGGAGCCTTGGTGGTGAAGGCATGCAGGTTGCCACGGGGGGGGGGGGGGGGGGGGCGGCATAAAACCCTGCCAACTTCCCCAGGCCCCTCTCTGGTGCAAAACCCTCAGTCCCCGGGAGAGGCCGAGTAACCCACTCCCAGAGGACAAGCAAAATGCCACTCACCACTTCTGGGGAAAGGGCAGAAGCAAGAGCTGTCTTTCCCAAGAAGAGGGAAAGTACCCACTGGGCCCAGGATTGTGCAGTAATACTAAGCAGAAACCTGCCCAAGACCTGACATGGCTACAAGGCAGCGTGTGTGGCTACCGTGCAGAGGAGGTGCTGGAAAGCAGAGAAGGCCTGGCTTGCAGGCCCTGCTTGGGACTGAGGTTTGTCCAGGAGAGCAGACACTTATAAGCCAAGCACTGGGTAACAGGAAACAGCGGTCTACCTCTGAGAAGGGACAAGACAATGGAGAGAGGCCTCTTCTGTGGTGCAGGGATTGCTAAAAGCTGAGGGTGGAGACAAGGGCAATGAGAAAAACTCTCCAGTATCTCAGGCCCCACAAACAGTATCAGGTAATAGCAGCCCTCTTCTGGAGGAGTGTGAAGTCTGTGGGGCTCTGAAGGTGACAAAAGCAACAACAAAACCCAAACCCAACTCACCTAGTTGACTGGACTGACTCAGCTCCCACCCCCTACATGAATGGCAAGATCAGAAAAGAGGCGCTCCCACTTCTGGGGTAGATACTATTTCCCTCAGTCTCTACAATTCTTCCAACACATAATACCTGGCATCCAATCGAACATTATAAGAAACACAAAACGCAAGGAAGTACCCCAACTCATTTTCAGGAAATAAAGCATTCAACAAAACCACCTCTTATTAGAGGTGACACAAATGTTAGAACCATCAGACAGGGACTTCAGAGTAATTACGATCAATATGTTAAAGGAGCTAGTGGGAAAGGTAGGCAGCATGCATGAACAGATGGAGAATTTCAGCAGGGATGGAGACTATACAAGAGAATCAAATGGAAATGTTAAAAACAAAAAACGTGATATCAGAAATGAAGAATTCCCTTGACAGGCTTTGCAGCAAACTGATCACAGCTGAGGAAAGACTGAACTTGGAGGTATGAAAGTTGAGATTAACCAAACTGAAACACAAAGAGAAAAAAGAATGCAGGGGGTGGGGGGAAAGAACAGAGCATCTAACACAATTTTCCAAAATTAATGAATGACAACAGATCCAGGAAGCCTGAGAATCACAAGACAAATACCATCCACAGCCCCTTAAAAACACACATACTAAGACATCATAGTCAAACTTCTAAAAGTCAGTTGTAAAGAGAAGATCTTGAAGGCAGCCAGAAAAAAGGGACACACTATGTAAAAGGGATAAATATAAACATTACAGTGGATTCCTTATCAGAAATTATATAGGCTATAAGAGTGGTATCTTTAAAATAGTAAAAAGGAAAAAAAAAACTGGTCAATCCAGATATTTTTCCCAGGAAAATAACTTTCAAGAATGAAGGTAAACTGACCAATTAAGTAAATGGGTGATGGATGGTGGGACCCAGGTATCTCACTGCTAGAGTGGAAATTTATAGATAAGCCAAGGGAGGAGACTGGAATGATCCACATAGACGTGATCAGAATTGGAGCTATCAGGGGCACTTGGGTGGCTCAGTCGGTTAACTGTCTGATTTCAGCTCAGGTCATGATCTTTGCAGTTAGTGAGTTTGAGCTCCAACATCAGGCTTGCTGCTGTCAGCCTGTCAGTAAAGAGCCCACTTTGGATCTTCTGTCCCCTTCTTTCTTCCTCTCCCCCACTTGCACTCTCTCAAAAATAAATAAACATTAAAAAAAAAGAATTGGAGCTATCAGTAGGGATACATATTTACCTTAATATAGATACAGATGGTCGTGTACAGAAATATCTATAGACATGAGTATACACACAGGTTACTATATACACATATAATTCTTTGCTCTGTAAGTAAGAGGACCTGAAAGAAATGATAGCCTACTTGGTGACCAGACCTTGGTTTCTAATACCATTAATCCAACTGAAGGAACCAGGACTCCTTGCAGAAATGGCTGATTCTAAGGCTAAGGCAGGAAATACACAAGATGAGTCTGGAGATTTTTATAGTGACAGAAAGTAGGAAAGTGCTAAAAAAAAATAAATAAATAATGAAAGTGCTAAAAAAAAAATAGGCAAACCAAAATATCCCACCCAAATCCATATTGATGGGGATATGTGGAGAGTATGGAGAAACCAACTGACAGGGCTCCCAATGGCCAAAACTGGAACAATTTGAGAAATAAAAGAAATAAAACGGTATGAGATTATAACCTTAACATAAAATAAATATCTGTGAGCCCTTAATAACATAAATTATTTATTTATAATAAGTAAATACATTAATAAATAAGGGAGAAGAGACAAATCTCCCATGCAGAATTCCACATAATTTAGGTAGGTGCTCTGCCCTCAATGAGAGGAAGCATAACTCCTCATTCCTTAAATGTGGGCCGTGCATAGTGACATTCTTCTAAAGAGCATGGACTAGGAGGGGAGAAGAGGATAACTTTATGGAGTTTAAATAAAGAAATGGAGAAACCTGATAAATGCACCTGCAGCCAGGTGGGCAAGGTCTACAACAACACTCATAAACCATGGTGCTAGTATGCACCTTCGGTATGATGTCATGAAAGTGGTACTTTGCTTCCATGATCTTTCTCCCCAAAATCTATGAACCCAGTCTGTTTATGAGAAAAGTATCAGACAAATTCCAATAGGGGGCATTCTACAATATACCTGGACCAGTATTCTTCAAATTAGTCAAGGTCATCAAAAACAAGGGAAATCTGAGCAACCATCACAGTCAAGAGGAGCCTAAGGGAACACGAAGACTAAAGGTGATATGATATCCTGGATGGGAACTTGGAACAAACATTAGGCAAAGATGAAGGAAACCTGAATGAACTTTAGTTAATAATACTGTATCAATACTGGGTCTTTAATGTACTTGACTAACATAAAGATGCTAGTAATAGGAGAAACTGTGTGTGGGATACATGGGAGCTCTTCGTATTATCTTTCTTAATTTTTTTTCTGTAAGTTTAAAATGTTCTCAACAATAAACTCTGTCCAGAAAGTAGGAAGGTTGGTCACCAGGGGCTGGGAGGAGGGGAAATGAGGGCTTAGCGTTTAATGGGAACAGTTTCAACTGGAGAGAGAGAAAGAGTTCTGAAGGTGGATGGTGGTGATGGTCACAAAACAACGTCAGTGTACTTAATGCCGAGGGACTGTGTTAATAATGGTTAAGATGGGGGGCGCCTGGGTGGTGCAGTCGGTTAAGTGTTTGACTTTGGCTCAGGTCATGATCTCACAGTTTGTGGGTTCAAACCCCACGTTGGGCTCTGTGCTGACAGCTCAGAGCCTGGAGTTTGCTTCAGATTCTGTGTCTCCCTTTCTCTCTGTCCCTCCCCCATTCACACTCTCTCTGTCTCTCTCTCAAAATAAATAAACATTTAAAAAATAAAAAATTAAATAATAATAGTAATGGTTATACTGTACCTCAATAAGAAATTTTTTTAAGTTCATTAAAAAAAAACCAGATGGAGCAAATCGGAGACCCCAGACTCGCACATGTCCCCTCACTCTCTTCTGGGGGGAGACAGTTTACTTTCGTGCTGTGGGGAAGAGGACACTCAACGGCGAATCTGATCAAAAGCCTCGAAAGATGGACCCTGCAAGCAGATGTGGGATTTTCTTCTAGGGAATCCCCTGAGACTTGGTCTGAGTAACTGAAATTAGAACCAAGGTGCATGCACTCTCTGAGGTAACCTGTGACCAATCCTTGAAGGAGTTCCCTGTGCTCACAAACCTGGGAGCCAACTCCAAACCTCCACCCCTACATTTCATGACATTACCATGGCTGAGTTGATACAAACAAAAAAAGAAAAATCCAAATGTGAGAAAGAGAGAAAAACGGTCCACGTGTACATTTATGTGTGTCATGAGAGAGGAACAGGTGCTGTGTGCATGGGCACCTGGATGCATTTTCATGCACAGATGTATGTGAAGTTGCAAGTCTGAACCTGTGAGTGATGTGTGCAGGCATGTCTGGCCTGGTAGCCAAGAAAGGCTCGGTTTCAAACCCGGCTCCCGTGCCGAGAGCTGAGTGATCCTGGGTGAAGCCACTTGTCTCTCCAGGCCTCAGCTTCCTTGCTTGTGACACTGGGCTGGTAATAGCTCTCCTGAGGATTAGAGGAGAATGTTGGGCACAATCTTGGGCTAATAGAGGCAGTTGTGATCACCGTGAGTAGGACACTATGTGGGAATCTGCCACAGCCTTTCCTGAAAAGCTGGTGAGGACGACCTTTCCTACTTCCAAGACTTTCCCATCCTTTCACATTTATTCCTTGTCCTCCATCGAAAAGTGATCACAGCAGGAGACGGACTACCTGGGGCTCAGCTCTTAGAGTCATGTTTCCTGATGCTTCTCCCATCACCTGATAGTTTTCTGTAAACAGGCTGCTCAATGGATTTACAGTTACACTTGGCTGTCAGTACAGTATCCTAGTGAGCTTATTGGTGGCATTTCAGACCAGGTGTCAGGTAGATAGATGGGCCCCATTTTGGGGTGGTGGGATCTGGTTCTTTCAAGAAATCATACCTCTAGCTTAGCTACCTTTGTGGGGAGTTGGGGCAATGGTTTGATGGGAGCATAAACCCATGTGAATGTTGCTGCCTGCCTCCAGGAAGCCTTCCCTGGTTCTCATAACCAGTAAGTACTTCCCAGATTTGACCAGAGGCAATGTGAAAACATAGAAGGCTTTGTAAAATGGGGGAATGGCACCATCAGATATATTTTAATAGGATTACTCTGGCTTCCAGATGAAGAATGGAATGGCAGGGTTGGGAGGTGTTGAGGCCTGAGCTGGGGAGTGACCATGGGGAAAGAGAGGCAGAGCCCCAGCCCACCCTTTAGCCACTCAAGCCACTGAGCTCTGCCTTGGGATAGGGTTCATCTGGACCTGCTTGTCCACCACCCAGGCAGGGTCCTAGCCCGATCCCAGCAAGTGTGCAGTAGGGGCTGCTAGTCCAGAGCAGGCCCAGTGTGGTGTCCACAGGCAGCCGGAGAGACAAGGGCCAGCCAGTGCCGGGCACAGCACCCAACCCCAGTCTTAGAGAAAGCCAGGAGGGCATCTGGCTGCTGCTACCGCTAGTTCCCCCTCCTACAGGAGGGTGCCGCAGTGAGCTTGCCCGCAGGAGGGAAGACACAGCCAGCCCTTCCTGACCTAGTTTTTCCTTTTTGGAAGCAGAGGCATCCCTGGCTAAAGTGAAGCGTGGAGAAGCCAGCCCATCTGCTGCTATATCATGACAGGCATGGGACCCCAAAGCACCTCTGTCTTTGGCTACACTGAAGGAGATCTCACTGTACATACGGGATGCCAAAACACACATGAGCAAGTTGCTCACGGACCCTGGAGCGGGAAGGCAGAGGACCCGATGATAACAACATGTCTGACGTACCAATTTTCACAGCCAGCTGGCTTCAGCCTCCACACTCAGCGCACTCTTTGCCCAGACCCTCATCCAATCTCACCTACCCTGTTCCCATCTTCCAGCCATGCTGGGTGGATCTCTGAACTCTACTGTGACCTACACTTCTCCATCTCCATGCCCCTTCCTGGCACATCTTTCCTCCCTCTGCCTTCGAGGTGTGTGTGTCCTCCCCATGGGGGCACCTCCTGTATCATCTTTTGTCACAGCCCTGGCTGGGAGGGATGGCTCCCTTCTCTAAACCATGTGGCATTTTCTCTTTCCCTCACGATGCTTATCATGTACACATATTTACTGCTCCACTAGCTGTGATTTCCTCCTGGGATTCACGTCTCACCTCTGTATCTCCAACCCCCAACGCAAGTCTGGCACAGAGTAGGTGTCCAATAGCTGCGACTCCCCTCCCCTTCTTCTCCCTGTGGACTCACTATGCGGACGCTCCGTGTACCTGTCCCAGCAGAGCTGGGCAACTGCTCGGTGCACATACCACCATCACTCCCACCTCTGCCCATGGAACCCAGCACTTGATCACCAAACTCTTTCCCCCCCGAGCTAGGACTCAGCCTCAGAATCCTTCTCAACACAAAGCTCAGGCCTACTTAAAGCTTAGTGGAACAGAAAATATGTGGACACAAGTGACCAAGGTAGCCACTTGAACAGAGTTGGGATGTAGGATAAAGTTGGCCTTCCTTGGCAGAAAACTAGTAAATACAGGATCAGTGTCCAACAAATAGTCACTTGCTGGCAGAAACAAGCATGCACTTAGAGCTCACGTATTCTTGTGGACGAGTGGTTTTCAAACTTTTGTGAGCAAAACGTTTACCTAGAATGCTTGTTAAAAATGCACATCCCTGGACATTACCCCCAGATGTTCTGACTGAGAAGAGCTAAGGTCTATCAGGAATCTGTAGCTTACCAGGCACTCCAGGTGCTGATGCAGGTGGTCTCAGACCACAGTCTGGACATTACTTATCACATTCAGACAAGTCTGTAGCTTCCCCTCACTACCCTAATGGTGAACCACGGACCTGGACAGGAACACGCAGTACTTGAGGTCACATAGTAAGTGTCAGGGCCAGAACTCAGGGGCCAAGAACTCTTTTGCAAGGTCCCACGACACAGATGGTTGCCTGCAGCACCTCCAAAAGTGGAGTATCATAAGGCAGACCGGGGCAGGTTGGAGGAGGTCCTAGACCCGAACCCCAGGAAACAGACTTACCCCTTGCTCCATGCTGTCATTGGCGCGGTCTGTGACTTTGGAGATGAGGGTCAGTGCACCTGTGGAGGGAAGCAGAGAAGGTAGCCGGGCCATCTGGGGAGGGCCAGTCCAGTAGCACTATCCTCACCTCCTTTCTTCCCCTCTCTCCCCACTGCCCCCCAAGATCACTACAGTTGCAGGGCCTTGTATGTGGGTGGCACCAATTTTTCTCACACCCGGGTCAGGTCATAGGTCCAACCTTAGCTTTGCTACCACTGCCTAAGTGACCTTTACAGTGATTTGACCACTTTGTGCCTTAGTTCCCTTGGCTATAAATTGAATATGTTAAAATAGGGACTGTCCTGGCAGGTCATATGCAGGGACAGTCACATAGAATTGGGAGGAAACAGGGACACTGTGGTGACTTTATACCTGGCACTACCTCCTATCACCAATGCTGATTACCCTCTTCTCCTTTGACTGGATGACAGCCCATCCCAGGGAGCCCTGTGGTTGAGGTGAGCAGGGAATAACCTCAGAATCCCCAGAGGTCTCATGTCCACTGCACATCTAGCTACCAGGGAAGAGAATATGTCCTGGGCCTGAACTGGTGGAGAGTCCAGAGCTAGGGGACAGGGGCCAAAGAGAAATGTGTCCCCATCCTCCAGGTTCATGCTGCACTTACCCTGTGTGTTATCGTACTCAGCTGAGTCCGGACAAAGGTTGTTTAAATAGTCTGCAGGTAGAACAAGAGCCAGGGGTCAGTCTGCCCTAGGGAGACCAGGCCCTCTGTCTGCAGCAGGAGCCCCCCCCCCCCCACCCCGCTGCTTTCCAGACTTGGAAGAAAAGGGCCGGAAGAATGGGGTACGCATCCCCTCACCCTTGCTAGCCTACTACAACACCACACTAGGACAAAATCAGGCCCCTGGGCCATCACCAGCATCACTGCCACCACCGCTAGCCATTCACTCATTCAACAACTATTGAGCACTTGCTGTGTGCCTGGTACTGTGCTATGCCCTCAGCATATAGACACAGACAAGGTGAAACCCTGCCTCTGAGAAGCACACTGTCTATTGGGGGAACATATGTGACCATCAACACAGGGGTGTGTGACGTGTTAAACCTTTAACACATTTATACCCACAGGCTCTATGTGGGCTGGCGTCTCTACAGCTACCTACCAATGTCACTCACTTATTCTGGCAATGCTGGCATTCTTACTCTTTTCTGGAACATGTTAAACCTGTTAATAGCCCCAGGGCCTTTGCACTCACTATTCCCTCTACTTGGTAGTCTCTTTTTCCAGATCTTCAGAGGGTTCATGTCCTCACTTTGCTGAGATCTCTGTGCAGTGTTACCTCCTCAGACAGGTCCTTTCTGAGTGCTGTATCTAATTCAGAGCACTTTTACCTCCATCCCCTTAAACCCCTTTATCTTCTTCAGAGCTCTTATCACTGACATATCATATTTTTATTTCCTTGTTAGAGTAAAAACTCCACAGTGTCACAGAGTTTTGGCTGTCTAATGCACTACTATACCTCCACCATCTAGCACGGGGCCTGGGACACAGTAGATGCTCAATAAACATTTGTTGAATCAGATGAACAAATTCTCTGCCCCTTGGCCCTAATGTACTTTCCTTACAGCCCTGGTCCCTACCTGGAATTACATGCATATCTCTACATGTGGGTATCTGTCTTCCCCACTGGAACAGCAGTCCTCCAGGCCCAGGGACTTTGTCCATTTGGGAGGCAGATGGGTAAGTGAGTCTGGACAGAGGTGTGGTGCTTCCTGGCAGGTAGAGGTAGGGGAGGGGATGATATTCCCCGAGGAGAGTTTGTAATTGTAAAGAGGGAAGGAAGGGAACAGGACCTAGGACTGAGCCCTGAGAAACACTGACATTTATTATGAAACAGTAGAGGAAGGGAGATTGTCAACACAGATGGAGAAGGGTAAGCAGAGAGGTCTGAGGGAGGCACAGAGAGAGTATATCACAGAAGCCTCAGGATGGGAGGGTTTTCGAGAAGCAGGAAGTGACCAGTGGCAAAGCCACAGAGATGGCCACAGTAGGTCCAAGGTGGAAAATGTCCACTGATTTGGCCCCAAGAAGGGCTTTGGTGGTAAGAACAGATTTAGGGAAATGAGACACCCACTGACGAAATGCAGAACAGGGGAAGGTATGACTTCATGTGTTTTAGGATGGGAGAGGCTGAAGGAAGACACAGAAGGTGGCCACTGAAGCAGGGTTTCCAAGGTGGCAGCAGAGGGTCCAAAGCTTCACTGAAGGGAAGATGGTGGCAGAGTCTAGCTGGTCTGGAGGGTCAGGAGCCAGGAACTGAGAACAATCCCCACCCCTGCCCATTCCCAGCACAGTGGGAGGGGAGGTTGTGATCACATAGCTTGCCACCATTACCTGCACCCCTCCTCAGGTGCCTTCCCTCCCGCATCACCTCAGTGCACCCTGACCTCCTGTGGGGCCCACCTGTGAGGAGCACTTGGTACTGGAAGAGGCGCTGAACCACCCGCAGCAGCCGGTGCTTCACGTTCTGGCCACCTCCTTGCTGACTCTGCTGCTCCCAAGAGACAGAGAGGACAAAACTCCATCAGAGACCCCTGCCTCAGGGCACCAAGCTCACGGCATCCCTCATACACTGTCCCATCCACACCTCTTCCTGGCCACACTGAACTTCTCCCCCAGCTCTAAAACCAGGTTCCCTTCCTCCAGGAAGGCCTCCCAGATTAGCACCAGTTCATTCCTTCTGTGACAGTTCATTCTTTCAGGCTCACAGTCAGTGCTATATTCAGTAACATGCAACTCCTAGTCCCTGCTTTGCATCTAGTATTAGTAAAAGAAGAAAAACCTCATTTTTCCTGTTCAGTAACTGTATCCCCAGTTAGTGACCATCTGTTGGTCATTCCAATGGGTGTGGCCCCAGCTTGCATTGTGCTTTTCTACTGGGACAGGAGAATGGCCACTAAAACTCCCACCAAGGTGGGGGCTCATGGAGTTGTCATCAATTGCCCAACAGGGTATGTCCTAGGCTCTAAGTGTTCCCTTCTTCTGGGTCACCCTCTCCTCTCCCAGCCAGGGCTTCCCCTCTGACCCTCAGCCTCAGGCCTACCAAGAAGCCCCACTGATTTTCAGTAAGCCCTTCCATGCCCACCCCACCCCTGGATCCTTAGAGCAGGTTCTCAGAGGACCAAGGGACCCACCTCAAACTCACGGACAGCAGCTGCCAGCCGGGGGGAATGCAGGCAGTTCTCACTGAGTAGACTCAGACACCTGTCGAACTGCAGGATGTGAGCAGCATGGTGATCAAACTCCTGCTCCCGGGCCAGGAAGACATCGGCCACCTTCTGCTGGTCCTCCCTGCAGCCAGGTAGGGAGATGGGATAGTGAGAACTCAGCCTCGTGACCAGCACGGTGTTAGTTGGTGAGCGTTGATCATGTCACTGGGTAGTGGTCCCAACTTGACCCTCCCACACTCATTTTACTTTGGGCAAAGGACCCAACATCTGCACCTCGGCTTCTGCATTGGTCAAACAGAGACACGGTTTCACTTGGTGTGGTGTTAACCACCCCATCCCCCAGTGCAACGGAAGTACGGGCAGCAGACCATGGACAGCTCACCAGTGCAATAGCCTCTCCCTCAGCTCCTCCAGGATCCCCTGGTGAAGGTCTCGGATGGCTGGGAGTTCACTCAGGCCGCGCCTCAGCTCCTCCCTGGCCAATGTGTCCTTGCTCTCGTGGTCTATTTCATCCAAGGCCCTCATGACAGCTCCGTGGAAATCCTGAAACCCCAAAGGCCCATCATCCCACAGTTGATAGGCCTGAGCACAAGTCTCCTGCAGCTTTGAAGCCCTGGCCTACATACAGATAGCACAAGATCTTAGGCCAGCATCTCTGACCCCAGCGTTCTCACCTGTAAAACAGGGGTGGTAACACACACCTGCTGTTCACAGGTAACTGATGCCCAAAGAACACCCACCACAACTCCTGGTGCAGCGGGAGGCTTTCAAGCATGTTCACTCCAGAACTTAGGTTTTGCTCTTCTTCTGAAAAGTTGGGTAATTCCCTCTCTGAAGAAGTACAAAGCTCTGCTCTACCGTTATCTGTCTTTGAAAAGGTTCATGCACTGTGTTGTTTTAAAGCAAAGTCTAAAGAAGTCATAGGCAACCACTCCATGGGGTGTTAAGCAGTCACTGAAAACGATGCAGATGGTGTCTATGTAAACATATTCGTGTCCTAGAGTTAGGACATCAAGAAGGGATACACAGTTGTCTTTCCACCCTGACATGGCTGTCTAAAACAGGAACAAAGGAAAAAGCTGAAAAGAAATGGAGTGAAATGTAAACAGTGGCTGTGTCAGAGGTATAAGATCAGGAATGGTTTTTTTCTTCTCTGTTTTCTTTTCTTTTACAAAAAAATTTTTTTACATTTATTTATTTTTAAGAGAGAGAGACAGAGTACAAGTGGGGAGGGGCAGAGAGGAAGACACAGAATCAGACGCAGGCTCCAGGCTCTGAGCTGTCAGCACAGAGCCTGACGTGGGGCTGGAACCCACGAACTGTGAGATCATGACCTGAGCCGAAGTTGGACGCTTAACCGACTGAGCCACCCAGGTGCCCCATCTTCTCTGTTTTCTAAAATTTCTGTATTGTGATTCATTACTTTAAAAATTCAACTAAATTTAATGAATATTAAAATTGTAAAGAATGCAAGACATCTTTCTCACAACAAAAAACTATCTTCAAATCTACCTGCTCTTGCATGAGCCCCAGGCCTGAAGTTTTAATTATATGGAATATACTGAAACCACCTTGAATTGTGGAATAATAAACACCAGGAAAACCTCAGTATCAGAGGACATGTGGTCCAGCCCCAATCAAGGTCAAATCACCTTTATAACATTCAGGAAGGATGCCCACACTGCCTTGTTTGATTGCCTCTCTGACAGAGAACTCATTACTGAGCTAGACAGTTAATTCCACTGCTGAACAGTTTTTATTGCTAGAATTGTCTCTTTACATTGAGATCTGAAAGGGGAAAATGCCTGAGAGGATGGGCAGTCCCTCCTCCAGGAAGTCTTTCTGGTCTTCTCCAGAAAAGGAGTGCAGGAGAAGGGGAGGACTGGGAAAAAAAGGCAGGGAAGTGGGACAGGGCTAGAGAGAAAGACAAAGCGAGAGATAAAAATGAGAAAACAGAGAGAAGGAGAAGAAGAAAGAGGAGAAAAGATGGAGGGTAGGAAGGAGGGACTGATGGAGAGCAGGACAGAGAACCCTCCAAAATCTGTAAAGAGGCTGCTGTGCTGTCAGACAGAGGACAGCAGGTGTGGAGGTGACAAAGGTCCCTGCTTCCTGAACACCTCCTCCAGTCCGGAGCTGACTTCCTGCTGCTGTAACCTGCCCTTCCAGGAATCTGGGCAGAGATGGCGGGGAGGACAAGGAGAGGGCACCCACCCTGGCTTGTGGTCCCACGGAGGGAGAATGAGCTGGTTCCTCCTGAGGCCAGCCCTCATCAGTCCCAGTCTGGTGCAGTTTGAAGGTTTCAGGACACCTCTAGCCCCATCACCAAGGTCAGAAACTCAGGGCTGAGTCTTCAACTAATGAATGGATTCTCTGGCTGAAGGCGTGTGTGTCCTTAAGTGGAGACCACATGCTTGAGCTATAATTAGAAATCAAGAGTGGCTGGGTGGTTCAGGTGGTTGGTGTCTGACTTCGGCTCAGGTCATGATCTCACAGCTCATGAGTTGGAACCCCGCGTTGGGCTCTGTGCTGACAGCTCAGAGCCTGGAGCTTGCTTTGGATTCTGTGTCTCCCCATCTCTCTGCCCCTCCCCCACTCATGCTCTGTCTCTGTCTCTCAAAAATAAATAAATGTTAAAAAAAAAATCAAATCCCATTGTACCTAAGCTATCAGAACCTTTCCTGAAAGCATGTTTCAGAGGGTGAAGAAAGTATGAACTACAAGTGAGAGGGAAAGGAAGGTAATGTTTAATTCTTATTTCTGCCCACAGCTGGCTCTGGGACACTGGGGTCATTCTGAACCTGGAGTGGGGGTTTCTCTGCTGACCCAAGGGCAGGAGGACCCTCCCATTCTTCCTTATGGGTCTCCATGTTTAGGACCCAGGCTCCAGCCCTACAGGGTCTTCTCAGCCCTGGAATCCCAGAGAAAGAAAGAAAACGTCCTGATGAAGAAGGATAATTCCTTTTGCTTGGGCTTGGGCAGCTGATTGACAGACTTTCAACACATTGTTATCGGCTCTGTGCCAGGTTCAAGCCCAGCTACACCAGAAGAAGCTGATGACTGTGGGCAAGCTGTCACTTATCTGAGCCTCATTTTCCTCATCTGTAAAATGGAAATAATGGCACCACTAAGTACAGCATGAGGCTGTTGAGAGGCTCATCCTGATGCTTAAAACTGCTTTATAAACTGTAAAGTGCTATCCCCATTGCAGTTGTGATTATATTTTAGCTATGACATCTTCAGAGTAGGGTTACATCTGTTTTGTTTCCTGCTGTGTTTCTAAAGCCCAACAGAGCATGTGACACAGAGGAGTTTTATTATACTTGCTGACTGACAGAAAGACCTTATTTATTTAACAGGAGAGTGAGCCACAGGGGAGCCAAGACTGCAATCTGGTCACCCTGCAGCCCGGACCACCACAGAAAGAGGAAGAGGGACAGAAGGAAGGACAAGCAAAAACAAGACTGATGGTTGCATGTGCATTGTACCCCAGGGAGCTAAAATATTAACTGCTCTGCAAGCTAGTTTCTCATCTGTAATTAATTCTCACTAAATTGACTAAGTCCCAATGGGCAGGATGGCCATCATCGACACGACTCATTTCAAAAACCAGAGCATAATTGGACTCGCCACAAACATCCGTTCTTAAAACTCATACATCGGCTGGAAGCACCGAGTGCCTGTCGCACCATCCATCACTCCCTGAAAGGTTTCTGCTGTCTTAATAGTTCTGGCCATCATTGCACCTGGGGGCTCTCAGACGGAGGAAGCAGGTAGGAGATACCCAGCTCTCATCCCCTTATTCGTTCAAAGTGAGTGCCTGCTCTGCACCAAGTCCCAAGGAGGGAGTAGGAGCAGGAAATGCTGTTCTGCCCTCAAAGAGTTTGCAATCTTGAGGAAAAGAAAGGAGTAAAAACACAATTTCAACACAGAAGTAGAAGTGCTGTGAGTGGGCAAGGCACAGGGGCTGTGGCAGGCCATAAGAGGGAGACCTGACTTAGCTCTGGGAAAGCATCCTATCTCCTCTGAGATAGGAAGGGAGTGTTTCAGGCAGAGGAGGCAACATGTGCAAAGGCCCTGAGGTGGAGGAGGCACTAAGTTAAATGTGCCTTGGGTGCAGTATGCATGTACGTGTGAGTGTGCGCACTGTGCAAGTGCACAGGACTGGAATATGATGGCAATGGATGGTCAGACAGACGACCCATCCCACAGGGCCCTGCACGGTTTTAAAGGCAATTGGGTTTCATCCTGGGGTGACAGGGAACCACTGGACCAAATATCTATCTTACAAAATTCACGTTGTTGGGAGAACAAACTGGAGGTGGCCAGAACGAGAGCAAGACCAGTGAGAAGGCCGTCGCAGTCATCCAGGAGAAAGGCCCAGACCCAATGGTGGCCATGGGGACCGAGAGAGGGAATGGATTGAAGATAATAAGGAAGAAGAACTGAGTGGCCACAATGCCTACAGGATCCAATCCAAACGCATTTGGGCACCAGAGGTCTTCTTGATCTGGCTCCCCTTCTTACCATGCCCACTTACCAGCTCTCTGTGGAGCCTCTGCTCCAGCCTTAGAGCCTCTAGACCCCAAGCCAAGGCCTAGAGAACACAAATGAGTCCTTGTCAACCTGGAGAGTTGCAAATGTGTGACCTTGAGCAAGTCACTTCATCTGTATGGACCTCAATTTCCCCCTCTGCTAAATGGGAATACAAATACCTTCTTCACAGTGTTTGTGCATATTGCCTTCTGCTCTGTTTAAGGATTCTTTGTTTCCTGTGCTTCCCTTCTCCCCTAGACTCTGTTTCACTTATCTCTGTCTCCCTAGCACCCTGCACAGGGAAGGTGATCAACACATGACAACTATAGTTTGGCACTATTATTATTTCCATTTTATTTCCAATAAAATAATCAGGTCCAGAAGGATTAAGTAAATTGCCCAACGTCATCAAGATGGCAAGATCTGGGCTCAAGTCAGCCTGACTCCAAAGTTGTAGCTCTCTTGCAGATGGCCCAGACGGGGGAGTGACAGATGCAGGTCAAGGAGGGGGACTAGAACGCGGTTCCTGAGTGCTAGCCAGGGCTTCTGGCCCAATCTCAGAGACCCTGGGGCAGCTTGGTGGAGAGGCCCGAGTGTGAGGACTGCCTCTCTGCCTCTGGGGCTCAGACAAGTTTCCTGGAGCTCACAGCATTCTCAGGACCCTGTCCTGGGCTTGTTAAAGTGGAAGCTGGGAATTCACATGCAGAGGCCTGGGCCCTTGGCCCCTTTTTCTCTTCTCCAAACCTGCTACTGAGTTTTCTAGGCAACACAGCACCTCTATTCTCTGAGCTAAACAGTTGGTGGGTGGCCAAGGTCCTCTTTGCAAGTAGTCAAACCACTGATGTTGTCGCCGAAAGTCAAGTGGACTCACTGGGATCCCATCTGGCCAAACGCACACCAACCTCAACCACGACCCACCTGTGTCACAAACATGCATTGGCAGGCCATGAGCTGTCCAGCAGACATGACTTCACCTGGCATGGTCAGCCACTGGAGGGTACTGTGGAACC